TTGATTTTGTGACCAAATGTGATCATGATCTCAATACATTCCAACTGCTTTAAAAAGTTTTTTTTATTCGTTCTGAATAGCTTCTACACGTGGAAGGCGATAAAATCCTATTGGTTTCCCATTTGCGTTTTTAGAATGTCTTTTCATTTTAAAATCTATGATAGCTAAAGCTATTAATTTAAACTTTTTTCTGAAAAAAAAAAAAACGCAAACAGAATAGGTTTAAAATACAATAAAAAGGTTTAAACAAAGCTACTATTTTTATTTTTTCCCCTACAAATAGACCCAGATTTCTGACGTGAGTTTGGCTAATAAACTTGAATTTTTTTTTTCTTAAATGGACATCGTTTTGGTCTTAACACCTCCCCCCCTCCCCCATTGTCAATTCTTGTCAAACTTTTCAGTACCCCTCCCCCTTATATTTACTGACATCACCTATGGATAGCTCTAAAGTTCTACTTATCCAGGGACCGAGATAACGGAATTCTACAGTATATACTCGTTTTTTTTTTATATAAACTAAACGCTTATAGGCTCAGATTTGGAAAAAAAAATAAGCATATAGAAGCATATTCCTGAGCCTCGATAAACCATTTAAAAAATTATATCATTATTTAATTTTAAATATATATGTTTCTAAATTTAAATCAACAAAAACAACAAAAACCAAAGTTTATAACAACATTAATTCAGCTACATTAAAACCAGCTACATTAAAAAAATACAGAGCATAAGTCAACTTTTTATTTTTCTTATACCCATTAACCTTTAGTAACGCGCACACTTTTAGAAATTATTGAAATAAATTATTGAAATATTTTATTAGAAATATGCTTAAGCTTAAGCATATTTTTGAGCCTCTTTTTACTTTTTGCTGAAGCATATTCGAACCTGTTTCAAAAATTTCATATGCTTAAAAAAAAACACATGTATATTCTTCCCCATCATTCTAACTTACATTCTTACAATACGTAATGAATTCAAAAAACATCATTATATATATTTATTATGGCGCGTTTCGTAAGTTTGTTTCCGTTAAGAACTCTTTCGTATGTTGTGATGCAAAATACTTTCGTTTTGAAAGAAATTTTGTTTTTTATCAACATTTTTAAAAATAAAACTATAAAAATTTAATATGTTCTTATACTGAAAATAAAAATTCATTATAAACATTTTCGGATTTAAAGATGTTAATTTTTACAATTAAAATCAGTCTGGCCAACAATTTTTTTTTATAGACTTCAAAACGTCGTTAGGCGAAAATGCTTGTTTCGCAAGTGCGACTTCCGAACTAGCTACTTTCGAATGTTCCAAAATACTTTTATATCGTATGTCAACTTGTAAAATGCTTAGTTTCGGAAGTAACATTTGCAAAAAGAACATCGACGATTTTAAATGTTTTTTAATATTCGGTACGAAAAAATGTAATTCCTCGTTCTCAATCTCCTTACAAAAGAATGTTGTTTTTCCGGAATTGCACGAAATCCTCCGGTTAACAACCATAAATTATAAAATTTTCTTATTTCCTTAATTCGCGACAAAAAATTTTATTAAATTTAATTGTTGCGTATTTACCTTGGTTGGGAAGATTTTTGACTTCTTTCCAAAGTTTTTTTCTCTCTTCCATTGTCTCTTCAGCAAAGTCTTCATTTATATATATTTCACTTCCTTTTAGTTTTTTAAAAGAACTTAATATTTTAATTTTATCTTGGTAGGTTAATAGTTTCACTACGATAGTTTTTGGTGTTATGCCTTCTTTATACGACCCAACTCGATGCGCTCGTTTCACAATAATTTCAGTTGAAATTTTAAGGTTGTTGGTAAATATTTTTTTCACAGATTTCTCACAATCGCTTCAACTTGTTTAGACTGAACCAAACGTAAAAATATTTCAGTTTAAATGATACTTAGTTTTAATAGACGCGCGAACAACTCGCGCTGGGAGAGTTTTGGCCAAAAATTAACGCTGTAAAGGTTTTCAAGTAAAATTGCCGTCAATCGATTAGTAGTGCCGTAAAATATCTGGTCTGCAAGATGAATAATTAGATTATTTTAAAGGAAAACATTAAAGACCTTCTGTGGACTGCAAGCAATCTTTTAAAATTTATTTAAAATGTAAAATTTTTATCATGCTTTTAAGTTTTATAGTTTAACATAAAATTATTGCGGTATATTTTAAAATCCTAACTTTAGCTTTAATTTCCAGACTGGAATTATTTTAACTATTGCTTAAGACATTTAAACAATAGGAAATAATTCAAGAAAATAGAAGAAAAAGAGCTATCAGCCTATAGTATTTTTGTTTACTTTTACCATGAAAGTTTTATCTATAATACTTCCATGCTTTTACTTACTAAGCGGAGAGCATTATAACTTTGAGTGAAAAAAACATGCTTTTAGAAATTTATGGGTTTAAACATTTTGAAAAAGTTCTAGCTCTTTTTATCTATAATCATGCCCCAAATTAAGGATAATTTTTAATTTTATCCAAGACAGTTTGAAGCAAACCGACTAAGCAAAGTCTAAAAAAGTTCGAAAAGAGACTAAATGTTGAACTCTGTCTTAGCAACAACAACAACAACAACAACAACAAAAAAAACGTGAAGAAATTTTTAAAAAACATGTAGAAGTTGTTAAATTAAACAAAAATAAATTTTCATTAATTTCATTTCATTTAACACCAAAGTTATCAGTTTTCAAAAATGAGGTTTTGTTAAAATTTTCGATTTTGATTTTATATAGAAACCAATCCGTTCAAATACTTTTTTAAAAAAACATTGAACCAAAATAAGATTTCAATTTATAATTAATGAAAAAACCAAGTATTAAAAATTCATTTAAATATATTTTTCTTAAAATTTATTAAATTAAGAGATTTAATGAGCCTAATAACAATTAAATCAATTAAAATATATTCTTTAAATTTTTTTTTCTTTTCTAAAACACAATTTTCTTGCTAGCAGGACTACTCGGTCAAAAACAGCTGCTTTGTTATACCAAATACCAAATTAATTATTAACTTACTATCAACAAATTTTTAAAGAATAATAAAATGGATACTTGAACAAGATATATTTTAAATTAAAAAGTTCAGAAGTAGTAAAATATTTTATTTGTTTAATTTATAATCTTGTTTTAAGAAAAAACGTGAAAAAAATACATTTATTATAATAAAATGTTTTACGAATTAAATTTTATTTATATTTTATTATACATTTTATATATAAAACATTTTATGCGAAATTATTGTGTATTAGTTTATAAAAAAATGGTCTATTCGCACGCACGTGGGAATAGATTATATCCTATTATCGTATTTGCACGTTTAAAAAAAAATTTCAAGTTAGATTTATAATATAAAATTTCTCACAAACAAAAAATGTTTATAACATAAGTCACATATTTTGAGAGCAATTCAATTTTTTAAATCAATTATAATAAAAAATAAATAAAATTACTTAAACATAATAAAATTTTTATTCAAAAAACAAACAAAAACGTGCCAATAGATAAAATAAGCATTAAGAAATACTTTTTTTTAATTACAAGATTGCCTGCCCAAGCCAAAACCCTCGTTGTTGTATTTATACTACACTGCGCCTATCTCTAGATAAGCAGTCAATATGTATATACTTTACGGTGCGCATATCCTTCAAAAGTCAGTCAACGTAAGTACTGCGTTAGTACTCCACAGCGCTAGTTTAATTTTAAAGATAAAAAACCAATAATAATAAATCTAATTTCTTTAAACTTCCTTTAAATTCGATGATATTTACCTTTTTTAATTAAATGTGCGAATTGACAATAATTAAATATAGTCTATTCACACGTGAAAAACGTGCGAATAGACACTCCGATAAAAAATATATGATACATTACTATTAAAGTTGTGTTTTATTTTAAATAAAATAACATGTATAAAATAACAAAGTGCTTTATATATAAAACAATATATGTGAAATGATGTTAGTCAATTTATAAAAAATAAATGCTTTTACTCAGTAATTGGTCAGCTTTACGTGAAAATAAAATATCAGCAAATTTCTTTAAATTTTTATTCCCTTAAAGCTGAGCAATTACTCGGGTAATTTGCTTAACTTTACGTGAATAAAATTAGAGGGGTTTTGCTCATATTTTTATTTACAAAAAGCTGAACAATTACTCTAAAAACGCTGAGTAAAAGTAATTGCTTTTTTTATTCAGCCGGCCAAATATATTTTTTTACGAACGAAAAATTTATTTTTAAGGTTTTTTATTCAACTTTCAGACATGTAGAAAACTTTAAACTTGGGTATTTTTATGCTTATATCAAGGATTCTTTGCAAAATTTACAGTGAATAAAGCCTGAGAATAAATAAACCTACCCCCTTTAATCCTAAATATGAGAATATTAAGTTTTTAATCCTAAATATAAGGTCGTTTTCAAGTTTTTACCTTTTCAATTTGGTGTCGGTGAAAACTTTACTTGGCCATAACCTTTGAACACCAAATGCTAACAATATTTGAAATTAAAAGTATTTCGATGAATGTAAATTTAGTTTAAAATGAAGTATATAAAAGTTATAGTTATTAAAGTAGTGTCATAATTATAATTGTTTATAATAATTATCATAATTATATTATTGATATTGGTATTATAATTAAGTTTCAAGGCAAAAACTTTGGAGTTTAATTGTTTCCAGGCTTCAATTTATAGCTGCAATTTTCTGCAAAGCAAAAATAAAGCTGCCACATTGTTGATCAGTTTATGTTATACTAAAAGGTTAGTCCACGAAACTTATTTACACTGAAAAGTTTATTGACAAAACGTAACTTAATACTATAAACGTAATTACGGTTTTTTTGGTTTAAGTTTTTAATTTTGGTCACGACACTAATTATCGAAAACAATTAAAATATGCAAAAAAAAAAAAAAAAAAAAAAAAACAACAATAATTTTTTAAAAATTAATATTAAATATATTACATAGAGTTGAATATAATGAAAAAATACAACACGTATTTTACATTTAATTTGATTAAATGCATAAATTTTTTGGGACTAAAGTTAGAGACTTATTGATCCAAATTATCCGATTCTTTTGATATCAGTTTAAATTTTTCGCATCGTTTTACGCACTTGCTTCGCTCAACCATGCAAACAAAGTAAGTATCTTCAACTTTGTTGATTTGCTTAAAACACTCTTCGTACGGAGGGTCGCATAATGCAAGGCATGTGTAGTCGCCATGTACCATAGCGGAAGTACATGCACAAAAGGCAAGGATACATAACATTATAATTCCGTTAACAGCCATTTTTTGTATGATCTTAAAAATAATAAGTAAAAAATAATTAATATGAAACAACAACAACAACAAAAAATTTAAAAATCATTAAAAACAAACCGAAAAAAAATTATTATGTAGCAAATTTTAAAACGAATATTAAAAAAAGTTAATTAATGCTTTAAAAAAGTGAAATAAATACCTCACAGTCGATTTCACTTAATTTTTTTATAACTTAATGTTTTACTTTTCTTGTTCTCCAAATAATACTATGTTAAAAAAGCGAATGCGGCCTTTTATTACGTTCGAAAGACCATCTGCTTTCAGTGGCAAATATGCAGTTCTTCTTAACAAAGAAAATCCGAACGTCAAGGTGTATTTGATAAAAAAAATAGTATTGGACATTACCAATGAAATATCTATAAAAGAAATTAATTAACTGTTTTTAAAACTAAATTTTCATTTTTTACAAAAGAATGAGACGGGTTTGCAATAATAGAATTTTCAGTTTTTGTGAATGTTTGTTTGTTTTTTACATCGAAGCTTTTCCTTAAATGGGCTGTCTTTTTATTTTACAAACGTGCCTTTGCATTCATATTTATTGTCTCATGCAGCCCAATATAAATTACAATAAATTTCTTTGAAACTGCATGACAAACATTAAATGTATGCAAAAAAAAAAAAATTCGTATCTATTGAATCTCTTATCATTCTTAGTATTTGTATTTTTTAAATACAAAACATTGTTTTTTATTTTTAAAACTTACATAAATCAATTTTAAAAGCGCAACTTATTTTAAAAGAAAACAATGCATAAATTATTCGCTCATATTTTTTTGTCATTTTTACTCATCGTTGTTTTTAGTTAGATCTTTTAATGAATAAATAAAAAATAGTTTTATTTTTTAATATCTTTCATCCTTAAATAAAGATTAAAATACTACTTTCACGCCCTAATATAAATCATAATTAATTTTGCACTTCACGGATTCTCCTGCGTATAAAAGTTTAATACCCACGTATAAAAACGTTTTTATCAAATGGTTACATCGCACTAAAAGAAGAACGTGACTCAGATTTATCAGCATTTCTTTTTACAAACCATTTTTGTCTTTTTGTTTAGTAACATAGATAAATTATGCAGCGATTTTTATTTGAAGTTATTAACATCATTAATAATTGTAAACACTATTAATGAAAAAATATTTAAAACAGATTATTTTATTTTTATCCAACTAGTAAAACCCAAGGCGTGTACTTAGTTTTTGAAAAAAGTATGTTCCACCTTCTAAAATTTTTTTAAACGAAACAAACTGGTGTTGAGTTTAAAAAATTTTCAATCAATTTTTTAAACTCAACACCAGTTTGTTTTTCGAATAAATTAAGTTTTCATAAAAAAAAAAAATCAGATAATCAAATTTTTAACATCATCAGCGATATAATCGTAAAGTAATAATAAAAAATGATATTCAGATATAAATATAGAATCTATAGTTTGTAAATATAGAAGTTTATTTCGAAATTTGATAAAAACGAGCTTGTAATAGACATAAAAACGCGCCATGTTTAAATATTTAAATTCTCCAAAAACAAAGCATTCAAGATTTAAACTAAATTTAAACTATGATTATAATTATTGACGGTAGTATTGACTGCAATGTTATTTGCAATATTGGTGTTTAAATAAAATCTCCATTGTACCACTGCACAGTGGGCCAGGTGGTAGACAAAAGTTTAAAAAATTTTCAAAAATTACATTATTATATACCATTTTAAAGCTTAAACATTCAGCTTTTTTTTTTAAATTTTCCAAATTTTTTTTTAAAATTGAAAATATTTTTTGTGTTACTAGTAAGCATGGAATAAATGTTAATTTTAAAACCTTTCCTTTTATTGCATGATTTAATAAAGTCAAGTATATTCTTGTATGAGCTATTACAACACTATTTAGCACGTAAGTTATGTAGAAAAAAATGATTTCATATGATGGCGTATTTGAAGTATTTTTTTTAGCTTAAATTTCACTTATCTAGTCGAATACTTTTACGTTCCTAAACGGTCCAGTAATTTGAAATACATAGTTTAATATTTATATTATCAATACAAATTTCGTTTATAATTTGCGGGTGTCGGCCTGGTCTTTAATTTTTACAAGTTAAATGATGTATCCCATTTTATGTGGCAAAAACATATGTATTTTATTCTACATGGTTATGCAATAACTGGGACTCAGACTCAGCTGGGACTAGATTAGTGTTACAAACTTGTTTTATTATTAATACACGCCATTTATGTTGCACCATATTCATCTTAAGAACTATTGTTTACATCAGGTTGTTGTTTGCGCCAAGATGGTAAAGAAAAAGAAACTAATGCTTTTTTAAAAATTATCAGTATATATAGTTTTGGTTCGAAAAATAGTTTTAAATCAAAATTTTTATATTATTATATATATAAAAAAGTTTAAGCTATAGGTACCTTTTTATATGAATTATGTAGTAGTTTCATGAAATATAAAATAGAACCATGGAAATGCATAAAAATACTTAAAATTAGTAATTGAGAATGTGTTAAAATTTTTATATGCATAAAATAATTTTTAATCAGACTGCCACACTAATACTAAGACTGCCACACTAATACTAAGACTGCCACACTAATACTAAGACTGCCACACTAATACTAAGACTGCCACACTAATACTAAGACTGCCACACTAATACTAAGACTGCCACACTAAGCTATTTTGTAAGATTGATGCTTTTAGAAAAGTTACTTAAGCTAAAAACTATGCAAAATGAATTATTGCCAGGCATTTCAGGTGTCACTATCATCCAAATAAAAAATCCATAGTATCACTACATTTTTAGTATAAAAATACTCAATGTGGTAATTATGGGAGTAATACAATAAAGTTATTACTTTTTCCAGTTTTATATTTATCATTTAACAAATAATATTTGTTAAAGTTAATAAAGTATACTAAGCAGTTTAGGTATCCATAGCAACTCAAAATTACAACTAATGTCACCAGTGAAACTGCAATCCTCAAATTAGTAAGCAGTACAAAAATGGTTCTTAAATCTTTTTTATATGACGAGTTGTTAGTTTTATCCAGCGACTTCTGGCCCACTGTGCACTGGTACAATCAATTGATTTAAATTTAATTAATTTAATAGATACATTTAACTGATTTGCTGATATAAATATATAAGATAGCTAACTTTTTCGCAACTGTTTATTTTTTACACTTTAAATACTGAATCGAATCAATTAAATGCATAAATTAAATTAATTGAATGTATCAATTAGGTCAGTTGAACGTATCAATTGAATCACTTAAATCAATTGAATGCATCAATTAAATCAAATAAATGCATCAATCAAATCAAATAAATCAATTGAATGTATCAAATAAATCAATTTATTGTATCAATTGAAGGAATCTTAGCACAATGTATAAAACCTAATAATTTATTTTCATGCAAGAATCTTTTTTATTTGTTATATTTTGCTAGAACTTATGCAGAACCTCTTTTCCCCAGTTATTAGGCGCCATCTTTTTTAAGTTAACTTTCTAAAAATGTAATTAAATTATTTTTAATGCAGCCTTGAATTAGAGTAATATTACCAATCACTACCGATTAACCACTCAACGCTGGCCAGTGTTATTACTCTTTTTGTAGCCATAAACATTTTTTTTATTATTGTTCTTGCTATTTTTTGTTATCGCTTTATTTTTCTATGACAACTTTGGTTTTCATAAATTCTTGAAAACAGTAAATTCTCACATTACAGTATTTTTTTTGTTTTGCATAAATTATTTTTACTTATTTCATGTAATTTTACTTCTAAGTATTATTATAAACAAATTTTCTTAAGACTATTTTAATAAAAGCAATATTAACCTGCATCTAGGGTTCAGACTATTGTAATTGTAATGAAAACAATAACAATTACAATAACTATTAATATTGTATTAATTTTTTTTAAAAACAATAACAACATCTATGATTTACAATTATTGTAATATTATAATACAATAGCAATAAATATTGTATTGCAATTCATCTTCATATTACAGTAACAATATCTAAAAAAAAAAATATTGTAATGTCCCATTACCTTTTTTAAAATACAATAAATATTTTATTGTAGAAGAAATACAATAAATATTGTATTGTATTTCATCTTTATAATACAATAACAGTTTACTGTTATTGTAATGAAAAAGAATTGTTATGACAAAAATTAGAGATGTTTTAATAGTCCAGTTGCCGACTATATACCCTTGTACCCTTTAAATAGGGTACAACTAATATTTAATGGTTGATTATATTTTATTGAAACATAATGGGAGGGGAAAGGGGTGTCAGAATGGTAAATTGAGCAACTTTAAATATTGAAAGTCAAAGTTAATGGAATCAAAAAAAAAGGAAACCACCATTTTTATGCAAATGAAAGGGATTCGGCAGACCTGAGACATTCAACATAAAATAGGTCCTGAGAAAGGAAAAATAAATAATAAAAATGAAGTGAATAGTTTTTTTTTAACTTTAAAAATTACAGAATATTTGACAATAATAGACTACAGAATGCTCATCAAATTGCCCACAAATGCAAAGTCTAGTTACTTTCGCGTTCGACACCCATAAAAATTCTGAGTGGGCACGGAACATAAAAAAGACATCTTTTAAACGCTTTTAAACGTTTTGGATGAAATTTCAGCGTTCAAAAGACTTCTTCTTTAGGTCCCGTGTCCACTGGGTTAACCCAATGAAAACTGATTTTATTAAACAGTCGATCCAATGTTTTGATATTCGAATCTTTAAAGAGTCAAAATCACTTATGTCTTTAGAGAACAAAAGTGAAATTAGTTCTTCCACGATCATACGTAATACTCTAATACTGTGTGGAAACGTCTATCCAGCCAACATAGCGCCAACACCTGCAAGTGAAATTTTCAATACATCTTCCAGAACATGACATTAATGTACAAACGCAATTAACAATTGCTGGATTTTTTCAACTGTTTTAGCTACTAGCTTTTCCTGAAGAACTGAGAACCATAACATTACCAAAGTAGTCAAAAAGATCAAAAATTAAAATTCTGCGGCTTTTTGTACCACTATGGTTCATGCATAAACTTTAGAGTTGTATGTAGCATGCAACTCTAAAGAATTCCACATACGACTACGATTACTGTTCATAGTAAAGATAACAACAGTAAAATCTTTATCCTCTTGAATTAAAATACTAACAACCCGTTTGTTCTGTGCACTTTTAACATTTCGAGCGGTCATAAAGTTTGTGTAGCATGTAGAGTAGCGCTTGCTATCTTCGAATATTTTAATCTGCAAACAAAATAGATAAATTAAAAACTACACTCTTTTTATTTGGTACGGATTAATTATCAAAAGAACATTTGCGAACGTATGTCTTACGTAAAAATCTTATTACTACAAAATTATCCTGAATTAGCAATTTAAAATTCGGGAAATTTCTAATAAAACTATTTATTAGTAAAGTCTTGTATTGTAAAGAGTATACCAAAACTTCTATAGAATTTCATCAATTATATTAGT